CTGGCTATACAGACCTGGGGGGAGCGGGGTCCATTGGCCTTGCCGAGCCTCAGTTTCCTTACCTGAAAACCATAGGCAATAATAATACCTAGCACGCAGTAAGCACTCAGTAGTTGTTAACCTACTGTCAGTATAAATATCAGGCATGGTGAAATCTCAGAGGGGTCAGCCAGTTGTTGCTGTCCTTGACCTAGCCCCTAAGTCCCTTTTTTGGAGTGATTGAGAAGGGAGGGGCATCCCCCTGTAGACAGCACCGTACTCAGCAAGGTGCTGGACCAGCCCCCTCCCAGCCAGAGCCCACTGCCGTTTCTGCAGGCGAATGAGGGAACGGTGAGGGGGCGGCTGGCGGGGAGGTGGGGGAGCGGTGGCGGAAGAGAGGGGGGCAGAGATTGGCCCTGGTGGGGGAGACATGGCCCGGGGGAGAGCAGCCGAGTCGCAGGGGAGGGAGGGAGGCTGTCGCGCTATAAATACCTCCCAGGTAACAGGACCCATAAATGAAGGGAGGGAATTAGTCACATTCCGTGTCGCCTTGGAGAGAGGACAAGGAGCAATGACCTAAATCCATGCAAGGGAAAAAATTAGGCTATCCTTGGGGGTGGGGGTAGCGAGTAGGGGCTGGATGCAGCACCTCTTCAGAGGGGTGCCCTGGATGGGTCTTGTGACAGGGGCCAGGCAGGAACCGCCGGGTGGGAAGGGTCTGGAAGGGGGGCAGCTTGTCTCCTCCATGACCAGAGTGTGAGACGTCTGACAGGCTCTTTTCTTCTCAAGGATTCTTTGGTCTCTCTCAGAAACTCAAACCCTTTCCTTACGGAAGTCTTTCAAGGAGTCTAGCCCTGGTCTCTCATCATGTCACTCTGCAGCACGTCCCCATGTGCTGCCCTCCTTAAACCCTCGCTCTCCCTGATTCCCCACCTTATCATATATTCATTCAGCTCTGCTCCTGGTTCGGGCAGAAGAATCTTTGCTTGGGAAGCAAGAGGAACGTGTCCTGTTTCTTCTCTGAACCCTGCTGCTGGGGCTGGATCCACTCGTCCTTCCCTGGGCTGGTGACATGGCCTGCTCTCCAGGCTCCCAGCCCCTGCTTCGCCCCCTTCTGCACCCCCCACGGTTGCCAGAGCAACAATCAGTGCATGCCTCCCCGTGCTCACACCTTCCCTGCTCCTCTAGGAATGGGTCTAGGCCCCTTGGCCTGTATACCAAGCCTCTGAGTGCTTCCCAACTCTGTCCACCTCTGCCCTCCCTCACACCCAGCCTGCCAGTCTAAATTCTCCAGGTCTGTGCACAGGCTGTCCTTCGAGCTGCGGATACCTCCCCTTGCTCTGCCTGGCAGACTTGCGTTTTCTCCCAGGCCCCAAGCTGGAGTCGGAAGTTCTCCCTGCCGCCTCTGCCGCGGACTTGGGTCCTCTTCTCTGTCCTGGAAGCACGTGCAGCAGGGTCAGTGTGGGGAAGTGGTTAAGCTTCCAGTTAGAAGGCCAGCTCTGTCTCTTACCAGGTAGTTTAGTCAGCCGGGTGGTTTAGTCAGGTGACTAAACGAGCTCTCCTGTGTCTTAGTTTCCTCACCTGCGGAAAGGTTTGAGTGAGGCCCTGCAGGAGGAGGGCACAGCCCACAGTCAGCGGCTGGTTGTTGTTGGGGCCACAATATTGATTTCACTGATTCTGTGTCTGCCTCTTGTGTGGGCTGTGAGATTGGGGGGGAAGGGAGGGCGGGGTGCAGCCTGCGGTGGTACGTCCCTGTGTGACTTGTCCCTGCAGCCGCAGTGGCCAGCTCGAGCCTGGCACCGAGACTGTCGGCAAATGTTTGCTGAATTAATGAGTGGGGGCTGCAGGGCGAGCTGAAGCTGCAGTTCCACCTGGGCTGCTGCAGCTGGGACGCCTGCGTGTCTGTGTGAGCCGTGGGAGCACGAGTGAGGGGTGTCTGTGGGTGGGGGAGTGATATCTGTGTCTCGGGGGTCTGGCGGCGCCGTGGGCAGCCTGGCGCGCCCGCTCCGTGGGGTCTCCGCGGAGCGCCTGCCTGGCTGCGGGACCCCGTTGCCAGGAGCAGTCAGGATGCGGCAGCGTCTCCATGACAACGCGGCATCTCGAGCCGCGAGCCGCCCTCCCCCGGCGCCCCGCAGTGGGCAGGAGGCCGAGCCTGGCAGCCCCTCCAGGGCCCAGCAGCCAGCAAGCTGGGCTAGGAGGCCAGAGCCTGGTGGGAGGGACCGAGGAGGGGGCTCCTTATTTTTCTAGAGATGAGGCATTGACTTGCCTTTACTTCCTTCTCCAACTGGGGGCAGTAAACAATATGAGGGTTCTGTCCTCCGCCCACCTGCAGCGCTCCCTTCTATTTCTGGCCAAGAAATCAGGAACAGGTCCTGGTCAGGGCAGGAGACCCCCACCGGCCAAGGGACAGCTCTAACGTCCTGGCTGTGAAAGCGGCACAATGATGCAGGTGTGCGGCGCTGGTGTGTGTGCGTGTGTGTGTGTGTGTGTGTGTGTGTGTGTGTAGGCACGGAGGCACTTCCAGGGGAGTGCCACTGTGGTCTGTCCAGGCTATCGTGCAAGCCTTGTGCCTTCCCGTGCCCACCGCATGTCTGCCAGTATACACACTTCCCACCGACAATGCCCCTGCCCTCAGTACCCGACAGGAACTGTCCCAGCATCCCTTTACCTTCCCAGTAATGCCATTTCCCCAAACCCAGTGCTTCTCACTGGGCTCAATGACGCCTCTCCCGCCCCCACCCTTAGTTCTCACCCAGTGACTCTGGTACTCACCAATATCTTCCCAGTGCCTCCCAGTACTTCCAAGTACCCTCTTGGTGTCTCCAGTTGTTATCCAGTATCCCCCTATACCAGTTTAGTACTTTCGTATATCCACTCAGTCCTCCCAGTTACCACCTAGTGAGCATCCCGTGCCCTGCTTCCAACTGAAGCTTTGGTGCCCCTTAAGATCATGCAGGGAGGACTCTCTGCCTCCAGTACCTGCCTGGTGTCCCTAGTGCCCTCCCATTATCCACTAGCACCTGCACATCCAGTGTGGTCCCCAGTGCCTTCCCAGTACCACTGTTCACCCAGTGCTAATAACCTCTTCAAACTCGTTCTGCTCAGTAAACAGTACTCCCTCACTCTCCCAGCCTCCCCGCGGGAGCTCCGCCAGACCGCAGTGCTCTCGGCGGCCAGGAGGGGGCGCGCAAACGGTCAGCCGAAGACTTAGGCTCGGGGCGCGGCCGCGGTGGATGTCGAGGGGCTGTATTTGAGGCCCTTGTCTTACGGAGCCTGAGTCTGTGTCGTCCAGGGCGTCGTTACATTTCTGAGGAGTACTGCTGGAACGACCACACCCCACCCTGCATTCTCTGCTAGCCCCTCCGGGCCAGCCACCTCCGTCGTGGCTTAGGCTCTGGGAAGAGGCGCGCGCCCTCTGGTGGCCACGGAGCTTCGCAGTTCCCTGGGCTGCTGTGCGGGGACAGGATGGTGTGTTCTTTCCCTTCCTCTCCCAGCGTTCTAGTTTGTTGGATTTGTCTTTGGGCTGGAGTGCAGAGAGGAAGTGGGTGGAGCGTTGGGGTTGTTGGCAATCCAGACCCCTATCTGGGGGGCTAGGCGGAGGGACTGGAGGCTGGGATGAAGAGAGAACATTAGGGAGCTTGGGACTGAGAGCCCCTGGGGAGGGACTGCAGGAACGGAGTGGTGGTGGGAGTATCGAGTCCACCGAGAAATGAATGTATTTCTACTCAAGTATTTAGCAGTTTGGGCTTTTATCTCTGTGTGCTGCCTGCAGAAGGGGGTGTGCGGGGGAGATGGTGGTGGTAGTATGAGGTGTTTACCCTCACTGACACCGTTACTGACTGTGCCCACATGCCAGCCCTAAGTCCTCTCCCCACCTTCCTGGGCCTGTTTCCCAATCTTCAGCAGTCCTGGGGGGTGCGTGCACCTTCTCCCCCTCCCACAGTGTGAGGTTTCCTCTTCTCTGTGAATTGGAGAAGTGGATGGAGCTGCAGCGGGAAATATCCAGGTTAGCCTTCTGGCTTTGGGTGACCTTGGCCTGTAGGACCATCCAGGATCAGATCTGTGATCTTGTGCCCCCTCTGGTCTGCCACCAGGACAGTGCTCAGCAAGCCTCTGCTCAGTGGATTAGTAAGTTTCTTTCAATTTATAGGAGTAAACTTAGAGATGCCTCCTCCATACTCCTCCTCTTCATTGTATGGGTGGGGAAACTGAGGCAGACAGCAGGTAAAGAATTACTCCAGGATCACTAGGAATGGGTGGGTGGCCGGCAGAACCAGAGATTATGGAGAGCACTGGTCTGGTCTGGGTTTGTGCTCAGCTCTGATACTTGCTACAGAAGTCGGGCAAGTCCCTTCCTTCCTTCTACACCTCAGTTTCCTCATTTGTATATTGAGGATAAAAACTCTATCTACTCCCCAGGGTAGCTGTGAGGTTTAATTCTGATGATGATGATGGGAAAAATAACTTTGATCGTAGCCACCGTTAGCTTGGCGCTCCCTTTGTGTCAGGTGCTGTGCCGAGTGACTCAGCACATGGCATCCGCAGGCCGTTACAGGATGTTGACAGGTGAAACCCAGCGCAGGGCCTTCCTGGAGAGGCTCTCAGAGGTGACCAGCTCATAGGCAGGGCGACAAAGCCCCTGCCAGGCCTGGCGTCCACTCCAGGCCTCCAGGACGAGCTCCAGAGCTCCTCTGCCTATGCCGGGGCTGGAGGCAGAGGGGGGGACTAGATGACCTTGGGCTGTCCCTTGTGCAGTACTCCCTAGTTCCCTAGGCCTGGATCAGATTTCCGGCCCCCAGGGAGGGCACGGGGGCTAGATGATGGAGGAAGCATGTGTCCTGGCCTGGCTGGACCTGGGGGCCTTGCCCTGGAACCTCAGGCCTTTCCTGCAAAGGGAATATCCAAGAGCAGGAAGGAAGGAAGTGAGGAGGGGAGGAAGAGGGGGAGGGAGAAAGGATGGGACAAGTCCCAGCTGGAGTGAGTTCTCTCTGGTACTGGCCAAGAAAAGAGGACATCTGGACTGGCCAGGCGGAGAGGCCGTTGGTCTGGTCACGCTGGGTGGGGCTCGGATTTGTGTGGTGGTGGCGTGTGTGAGGGGGCATTCAAGAAAAGAGGCGGAGTCCCACGCTGTGTCTCCTCGTCTGTGTAACAGGTACAAGAACACCTCCTTCCTGGGCTGGATGGGAGTCCAATCGAGGTCGGGAGTGTGAAGTGCCATCTGGGCCTGGAACGGCGCCGTCGGTGCGTCCGGCCTGCTGGTCCCTCCTCCCTGGCCTGGCCGCCTGATCTGAGAGACAATAGACAGCTCACCCGGACTCCCGCTGCCTATGCCCCGTGCTCGCCTTCAATGGCCATTACTGAGCACTTATCATGAGGTGGGGTCTGGGGCTGTTACCAGGGCAGGAGCCAGTCCTGGCCCCACAGAGCCCGTCTGTAGTGAGGGAGGAGGGTGAGTCACCAAGCAGTGCCGGGCGCACAGGCACTGCGACAGTTCAGAGGAGGCGCCTGCTTGACCCAGCCCGGGAGGTGAGGGAAGGCTTCTTAGAGGAAGTGGTGTTCATGTCTGGACCCAAAGGATTAGCCAGAAGAAGGGACGTGATGGGGAAGAGGACTCTAGGGAGAGGGAAGGACTGGCCCCAAGCTCAGCTCAGGGGAGCATGGGGGCTATGGCTGGAGCAGAGCGTGGGGCAGCAAGTGGAGGGGAGGCGGGGCTTTGGGGCTCAGGGATAAGGCTGTGGACTTTATTCTGAGGGCACTGGGGAGCCACAGAAAGTTCTAGGCAGGGGTGGCATGGTCAGGGCGGACGAGGGAGAGAACTCAGGGCCTGTGTGGTGCGACCAGCTGCCTGCATGCCCTCCTCCCTCCCGGCCCCCCCACGGGGGCTGCCAGGCCGCAGTACCGTGCCCCTGCAGGTTTTCCCACCCGCCTTTCTTTGTCGCTGTCCTACCTGGATGTTAGTTCCCTGGGTAACAACCGAGTATGCTGACCGTGAAGACGGAGCACGGGGAACCTGGAGCCATGGGCCGTCCTTCCCTTTCAGATGAAAACAGAGAGTGCGGCCAGGATGTGTGCTAATCCAGGAGTGACAGAAACAGAGCTGAGTTACTTTGTGCGGTTTTGCCGCCTCTCAGGAGGAAGAATGAAATGCGTGTGAACACACAAGCCACAAAACACAAATTGTGAAATTTTGGTGATTCTGAATACGAGTGAAGTGCCCGTATATTTACATTTAAACCGGCATCACACTATATAGTTGAATGGTACAATTCATGCTACTCATTTAAATGTTTAATTTTTCTTTACTTAGAATGACATTAAGCAGCAAATAAAAAACATCGTGAAAAACTGAGAGGTAGACTACACAGCCAGGGTTTATATGTATTTACTTTTACGTTTTGTGCCTTTCACACTGGGTCTTTCTCTTGCTTTTTGAACGAGGGGGCTCTGCATTTTATTGGGGGCGGGGTTCTGCAGTGTGACTGGCCATGGGCGGGAGACCCTTCCATTTTGCTTTCGGGTCGGGGCGCTGTGAGGGGGCACTGCCTCCTTGTCGGTGCTGTATCTCCCGGCCGCGGGAAGGCCCAGCCCTCCCGCGTCTCGCTCTCTCCAGGTGCGCCACCGCCACCGCAGTTCAGGGTTTGGGGCAGTGCGGACATGGGGGGGGGGGCGCCAGCCCTCTCATGGCTGAAGATACTGCTGCCCCTGGCCTCCGGGGGCAGGGTCACTGGCTGCTACCGGGCTGCCATCCAGCCTGGCAAGCTTCCTGGGGTTCCTGGCGCCCTCCCCTTGAGGTGGCGTTCTCCCCGGGCACGCCCACAGAGGGGCATCAGAAACCGGGTATTGTGGGGCCGGAGCTGGGCTTCTCTCTCCCCGTCTCCCAGCACCTGTCCCCAGCTAGGTGAGGCGGAGGGGCGGGGTCTCTTTCCTTGGCTTACTTTCACAGAGGGAGCAGTAAAAGGAGAAACCTCGGAAACTGCTGAGCAGTGACCAGCCAGCGACCCGGCAACGCGTGGGAGGCCCTGGGACTTGAGGCAGAGGTCGGGGTGGCGGTGCGTCCAGGTGAGAGGAAAGGCGCCTCCTCAGACTGGTCCGAGGGCAGGGGAGGGGCGGGCAGTCCGGGCGCACGAGGCCCCCACTGCTCGTTGCTGACTCCAGTCCCGGACCCTCCGACTCTCCTGAGACTGTCTCCTCTTGTTACCGTGGGATAAAGACTGTGCCTGCCCCAGGACTGCCATGAGCAGCCTCTGAGCTAACCGGCAAAAGACACCGAGTGCAGAGCTGGGCACTTAGAGACCGCCATTCACGGAAGCTCACCTGTTGTGGAAGAAGAGGTTGGTGACGCGCTGGGGTCTTCCTCCCCTACCACCAGGAGTGCCCTCCACCCCCTCTCCCTGTCCTGGCTCCTCCGCCTTTCCTCTCTACCCTGCTTCCCCCACTTCCTCTGTCTGTCGTTTCTCTAGCACACCAGGCTCGTGGTCACCACAGGACCTTTGCACTTGCTGTTTCCTCTGTCTGCAGTTCTGGCCTCCCAGATGACTGCTAACTGACTCTTGCTTCTTGGGTCTTAGCATTGATGTCACCTCCTCTGGGACAGTTTGCCTGACCGCCCCAGTGGACATATCCCTGGTGAAGCCACTGTTACCTTTCACTGTTCTAATTTTCCACACAGCGCTCGATAGGTGATGACTTTGTTTACTTGTTTGTTAGGTGTCTTCCTTCTCTCCCCCAGGCTGTGAGCCTCGGGTGGGTGGGCACCTTGTCTGTCTTGCTCTCCACGTCCTCAGTGGCTGGCAGCACGTGGTAGGCGCACCACACAGAGCCCTGCTTTCATGGAGTTCACAGTTTAATAAGTGAGGCAGATTGAACAAGCAAACACATGTTTTGATACATATTTTTAATTATGGTAAGTTGCCCATAACAGGGAAGTTACTGTGCTAACCACCTGGAGTGTGTGGTTCAGTGGCATTAAGTACATCACATTGCCGTATGGCCGTCTCCACTGCGCATGTCCAGAACTCTCTGTTGTCCCGAACCGGTGCTCTGCACCCGTCAGACAGTAGCTCCTCATTCCCCTCCACCCCCAGCCCCAGGCACCCACCATGCTACTTGTCTCTGTGAATTTTTACATTTTATTTATTTATTTATAGAGAAAGGGGAAAGGAGGGAGAAAGAGAGGGAGAGAAACATCAATGTGTGCTTGCCTCTTGAATGGCCCCCGCCCCCAGGAACCTGGCCTGCAACCCAGGCATGTGCCCTGACTGGGACTTGAACCAGAGACCCTTTGGTTCACAGGCTGCTGCTCAATCCACTGAGCCACACCAGCCAGGGCGTAGATCTGTTTTTTGAGGAAGCACCATACTCTTTTCTACAGTGACTGTACCCTTTTACACCAGTAATGCACAATTTCTCCACATCCTTACCAACACTTGTTATCTTCCGTTTTATTTTCTTTGTAGTTTTAGAGCAGTCCTCCTAATGAGTGCAAAGTGCTGTCTCACTGGGGATTTAATTTGTGTCTCTCTAACGACCAGGACACGAATTTTTGAAGAAAACCTGTTTCTGGAGAATGGAGGACAGGGGGCCTCTTGACTCCGGTAGTCCGGAAGGTCCAGAAGGTGGTCTGGAAGGAGATGGCATTTAAACTGAGGCCTGTGAGAAGGGCAGGTGGCTGACAGAGGGTGATCTGGAGGAGCAACATTTCAGCAAGAGGGAACACTGAGGGCAGGGCACCTGAAGGGTGAGTGAGAGCTGCCTATTTTAGCTGGAGAACTAGTGAAGAGTGGCCAGGGGGCTGGTGGCCAGAGGCGTGGCCCAAAGGGTAGGCAGGGCTGGATGATCCACGGCTTTTGGCCACAGAAAGGAGTTTGTGTTTGCAATATATCCTGTCTTCAGGTTGTGGGCATGAGGGGGCAGAGGGAAGACTCAGGGAGTGAGGGATAGATGCACAGAAAAACAGCATGGTATGTAGCCATGTGTGCGAGGGACAGTGTGTCCCTACAGGCAACCGGTGTGTTTAGGTGTGTGCATGTGTGCACATGGGGACCTGTACTGTGAGTGTGTATGTGTGTGTGCCTGTATGGACACCCCCAAAAGCCTCAGATTGTTATTTGATCTCTCTGAGGAACATGCTGTACCCATTTCCCACCAGCCCACAATGGCCACCCAGGCGGGGCAGGTGAAGTGTTGCTTCCTAGGTTCCTACAACAGATCTGGAACTGGCAAGAAGGATCTGGAGGCATGCCTAGGTTCAGGCTGGTCTCTGAGAAAGATGACCCGTCTTTGAAGGTTTGGAAACAAGGGCTTGCACGTCTAAGACCAGGAGATGACTCCACACCCTACCTTTGCAAGACCACAGCGACACCTTGGCCACTGGTGAGGTGGGTATGGCCAGCTGCTGCAGTACCGAGAAGGGCCGCACGGGGGCAGAGAAGTCGCAGGCCTGCGGGGAGGGAGCTAGAGTAAGGGTGGGAGAGGAAGGTTGGGGTGGACAGGCGGGCAGACAGGTCTGGGGGTGCGCGTCTGTGGGAATTGTTTCCGCCTCCGAGTGGCCGTGTGTGTGAAGATAAAATGAAGCCATGAGGTCATTGCCATCCCGGTGGAATCTCATTTCATCCTCAAAGCGACGTCCTTTCCTCACAATGGCAGAGAAGTGGAGCCACGTGCCCAGGCCTGCCTGCCCTCCCCTCCCCTCTAATCACCAGCCCGTCCTGTCCTGCGTGAATTCATCTGCAGGGCGGTGCTGATTTGTTCATCGGTCTCCTGGCCTCCCCTCGCCCCCTCTACTCCCTGCCTTAGCAGAGCACCCTCCCACCTTGGGCGGGGCCAGGACGGCCCGGAGGCTTGGACTGGAGGCCTCCTCGAGGCCCCTGGGGAGGAGGGGTTCAGGGTCCTGGGGTGAGCTCAGATGTGTGTCCTCGTCACCATGGTAACAATAGTCCATAGTAACATTGGACCTTGTCTCTGACTTTCCCCTGAGGCTGCCGGTTGGGGAGCGGTATCTAGGGAAACTAGCTAAACCCCTGGCCCGTCTCTGGGGCCACTGCCACCTCTGCTGGGTCTTTTCGGAGCATCAGACCAAGTGCAAAGGAGTGGAAATTGAGATACAACCAAGGGTCCCCCTCAAAACAATCCGCAATTGCCTCACCTTCTGTCCCCCCCATGTAAGTGACTGTAGCAGTTGGGCTAACCCTGGAGGAAAGAAGACATGGATGCTTTCGGCGGAGACCGTGGAACAGAGGGGCAGACCGAGGCCCAGGGAGGGGAGGAGCCGTCGGGGACTGCACAGCCAGGCAGGGCCGAGGCCCTGTTTGTTTCCATCCAGAGAGGGCCAGAGGACTCCGGACCCTAGTCATCGAGATACACACCATGGGCTGGAGACTGAGGGGCCAGCAGGACGGCGACCTCGCCTCCTCCTCCAGGACGTCCTCCCTGACGCAGCTCCTCGGCCACCAGTGTCAGAAACGGCCTCAGAGTCCCCTTGACACTTTGGTTAGCAGGGCTAAAAATTCACTTCCAAAAAATCCTTACTGGAGGACACGTTTATTGATTTTAGGGAGAGGAGGGAGGGAGAGAAACATCAGTCACGCATTTTTCCACCAGGGCCCCCACCGGCAATGGAGGTATGTGCCCTGACCAGGAGTCAAACCTGTGGCCTTTCGGTTGAGAGGACAGCGTTCCAACTAACTGAGCCACACCGGCCAGGACTGAAAATTCACCCTTGAGTTGCTGTAGGAGACCCCAGAGACTCTCAGTCCATTCTCTTGGTCAAGAAAACTCCTCTCTAACCTTTCTGACAGTCAGCTGCCCATCTTGCTTGCACACCTCATGTAAAGGGGAGCTCACTACCTTGAAATGCAGCCTGTTCTGTTGTAGGATAGCTCCTTCTAGTGAGACCAAACTGGCCTTCCTGTGCTATCCAGCTGTTGAAACTAGCTCAGAGCACAAAGCAGCTCCTCAGCCTTTTCCACGCAGGCCCCTGCGGGTGGCAGAGAGGGCCGTACCCTCCCAACCCACACCTGCCTTCTCTCCAACATAAATGGTCCACCTGGTTCCCCATAAACAACCTTTCCAGCCCTTCATCTCCTGAGCAGGGTATTCTCTGTGGTGGCTATTTTTGTCTCCTTTTACAGAGAACATGAATCTAGCCACCACTCAGAACTTACAACTTAGGCTGATATTATAGTTACTGTATCACTGTCTCTGGGTCCCCCCTTCATCCATTGGTTCATTTTTGGGGTATGTTTCAAAGTAAGTTGCCGTTAACAGTGCAGTTCGCCCTCAACCACTTCAGCATGTATCTCACTGACTAGAGGTGAATGTTTGCGTGTGGCCCTTTGCTTTTTTGAGGCAATATTTATACATAATGAAATGCACAAGCTGTCAGTATACTATCGGTTGAGTTTTGGTAAGTGTGTATACTTGTACACGCCAACTCCCATCAAGCTATAGAATGTTTCCATCACTACAGAAAGTTTCCCAGTCGCCCCTGTCCCCACTGATTTCTTTCCATCATGGTCCATTCTAGAACTTCATAAAAACGGAATCCTGCACCATCTACTCTTGTTGTGTCTGGTTTATTTCATTCACCATAATGTTTGGAGATTCATTAGTACTTTATTCCTTTTTACTGCCAAGGAGAATTCCGTCATATGAACGTGTAACAGTTTGTTAATCCATTTGCCTCCGGATGGACACCTTGAGCTGTTTCCCACAGACAGATAAATAGATGGATGGACGCCCAGCCAGGTCTCCCTGCCCCGAATGTGTACAGTTGTTTTGTTGGAACCTCAGTGTCAACTTTTCCACTGGTCCTCATTAAATTCCATCTTGTTGGTTTTGACTTAACCCTCCCGCTGGTCCTGATGTGATGAGAGTAGCAAACTCACATACACTCACCATGTGCCAGACACTGGGCTAACCCGTTCAGACTTCAGAATCGCTCTGTGGGCCCTGGCTGGTGTGGCTCAGTGGACTGAGCACCAGCCTGCGAACTGAAAGGTCACTGGTTTGATTCCCAGTCAGGGCACAGGCCGGGTTGCGGGCCAGGTCCCCGGTTGGGGGCTTCCTTATTCTATTTGTCAGTAAGCCTTGATGGTGATTTTTTTCACCGGCTGCAACGCCATGGATCCAGCTGTGGCTCTCCGCCATGATCTCGGGACAGCATTCACCAGACGCAACTCTGCACTGTCCACGTGTCCAGCATTTGATGGCAGTCCCCAGAGGTCCCTGCTTGGGGACAAAGGGACCAGAGCAGGGCTAGGGCAGCAATTGTTCGAGTTCATAAGGGCACCTGGTGGCCCTTCGTAGCCCCGGGTCTTGGTCCAGTGTCTAGCATGTAGCAGGTGCTCAACAGATGCGTGTTAATTATTTTTTGAAGGCTACTTAATTTTATTTTCTTATTGTGGTAAAATACACATAAATAAAAGTTACCATTTAGCCCATTTTTAAGTACGTTAAAAGTGTTGTGTAACCATCACAACTATCTATTTCTGGAACTTATTCATCACCCCAAAGAAAAACTCTCTACCCACCTGACAATAACTCTCCCTTCCCCCTTCCCTCAACCCCTGGTAACCTCTATTCTAATTTCTGTTTCTATGAATTTATTTATTTAGATACTTCTTATAAGTGGACACATACAGTAGTTGCTCATTGGTGTCTGGTTCCTGTCGCTTAGCTTATGTTTCCAAGGCTCATCGCTGTCATTAGCACTTGTCAGAATTTTACTCCTTTAAAGCCGAGTAATGCTCCGTTGTAAGTTGCGAGCCTCATCTTGTTTATCCGTCGATGGGCGCTTAAGGTCGTTTCCGCCTTTCGGTCACTGTGAATACGCCACCGTGAAGCTTGTGAACTGTCACTTCACAATCCCTTTCCAGTCAGCTTCTCTCCAGCCCTTTCCACTCAGCTGGCTCTTGTCCACCCCTCCGGTGGCCTTGGGTCGCTGAATCCAATGGTCGCTTTTCAGTCCTCGCCTTCCTCGAACCCTCAGCAGCATGATGTGGCCCTTTTCTTTCCTCCTTGATGTTGTATCCTCATTTATTATAGGGCCTCCTCATTTCCTGGGTTTTCTCTGCCTCTCCGGACACCCCTCTTCAGTCCCCCTCCTTGCTCCCCTCCCGTCCCCCACTCTCCACATCGGAGGCCCACAGGGTTCCACTCCCGCCCCCTGAGACATGCTGCTCCCTCTGCTCCCAAATGCGCGTCTCTAGGCCAGACCACCCGCCTACCTGACATCTCCGTCTGGTGGCCGGTCGACGTCTCAGACGCTACCTGCCCGACGTGAGCCCCTGCTTTTCCTTCGCCAACACATTCTTCCCCGCTTCCCCACTTTAGTTTCTGGCGACTCCATCCTTCCCATTGTTTAGATTCTCAAATTTTGCTTCACTCTCGACTCCTGTCTCTCTCTTATACCCCGCACTCAACCCCACATTCTTATTATTGGTTTTACCTTCCAAATACATCCAGAATCTTGCCACGTCTCCTCAGCTCCCACCCTGGCCCGAGTCCCCATCCACTCTCCCCTGGAATTGCACAGTAGCCTCCGAACTGATTTCCAGGCTCAAACCCAATCCTTTCAGTCTATCCCCAACACAGCAGCCAGAGGAAACCTTTAAAAACACAACTCAGCCTGGCTGGCGTCGTAGCTCAGTGGATTGAGCGTGGGCCCGCCAACCAAAGGATCGCGGTTCGATTCCCAGTCAGGGCACATGCCTGGGTTGCAGGCAGTTCCCAGCAGGGGGTGCATGAGAGGCAACCAAACATTGATGTTTCTCTCCCTCTCTCCTTCCTTTCCCCTTCAAAGATAAATAAAATCTTAAAATAAAATAAAAACATAAATCAGATCAGTTCTCTGCCCCAAACTTTAGTAGATTTCTCATGTCACCGAGTCAAAGGCCGAGTCCTTACAATGGCTTCCGGGCCCCGTGTCATCTGGCCCCTGCTAGCCCTCTGCCTCATCTCTGCACCCTCCCCTTCTCCCTTTGCTCCTTGCTGTTCCAACACCGTGCCAGGCACACTCCCACCTCAGGGCCTTTGCACTGGCTGTTCTTGTCTTTGGAAGTCTCCTTCCCCCAAGAACTACATGACACATTCTCTTACCTCTCTCTTGTCTTTGCTCAAATTCCCTTCTCAGAGTGTCTACCAGCACCACTCTGTTTAAAGCTGCAGCCCCTCACCTTGTGCGCCCTCCTGATTTCCTTTATGTCGCCCTGTTCCCCTTGTAATGCTCCTTACTGTTTATAATCTGCATTTGATTTATTTGTTGTTTGTTGTTTCTTTCTTCCCCCAACTCCCACTAGAAATGACCCAGGAGGGCAAGAATTTTCATCTCTTTTTAAAAAGATTTCATTTGTTTATTTTTAGAGGGAAGGGAAGGAAAAGAGAAAGAGGGGGAGAGAAACGTCAGTCAGTTGTCTCTTGTATGTTCTCTCACTGCGGATGGAACCCGCCAGCCAGGCGTGTGTCTTCACTAAGAATTGAACCAGCGACCCTCAGCTTTGAGGGACTTTGCCCAACCAACTGAGCCACCCCAGTCAGGGCAGGATTTTCATCCCTTTTATTTACTGATATGATTCACTTAGAAGAGGGCTTGTATGGATAGGGCCTCAGTACAAGTTGATTGAATGAAAAAATGAAGGAAGGAAAAAAGTATGGTAATGTGGGAAGAGGTCTGCTGTCTAAGTTGGAGCCAACGAAAGGCGGGCTTCAGCCCTGGCTGGTGTGCCTCAGTGGACTGAGCAGCAGCCTGCGAGCCAAAGGGTCACGGGTTCAATTCCCAGTCGGGGCACATGCCTGGGTTGCAGACCAGGTACCCAGTAGGGGACATGCGAGAGGCAACCACACATTGATGTTTCCCTTTCTCTTTCTCCTTCCCTTCCCCTCTGTCTAAAGATAAATAAAATCTTTTAAAAAAGAAAGAAAAGGTGGGCTTCTGGCTGTCATGGACGTTCGTGCTGTTGGCTGTGTAGCCACGCCCCTTCTCCTGGTAACTCTCCACACGTTTTCTTTTGGGACACATCCCCTCCTACCATCATTCCGAGTGGGGCAATGACGCTTTAGGCCACAGTTGTTTGGCTCAGGGCTGGCTGTAATGTATGTCCCTAGCTGGACCAATGAGACCGAATCCTGAGACTTCCGCTCATATTCCTGGCGTGGGAAGGGATGGGGGGAAGCCTTCTGCCCTTAAAGCCAGACATAGGCTCGGAGGTGCCTCAGCCATATGGACACCCTGTTGGGAGAACTCGCCCGGAAACGAAGCCGACCCACGGGACTGCTGGCTTCAGGTGTGGAGAAAGGCCCCACGGGGGAGCCCAGGGGCAGCACTGCCTGTGGCCGGTCTACTCCTGGACTTCCCATTCACATGAGCCCTTTGCACCAAAGCCAGTCTCTGCATTTGCAGCCATTCACACTGCACCTGCCTGAGCTCCTGACTTGGGAAGTGAGGAAGAGGCGAGTAGGGCCCTGCAGGGTGTGGCAGTCCCAAGCGAGAGGCGCTGAGCATACAGAGTTTCTTCCATGGTGGGCGCTGAAGGGAGGGGATGTGGGAGCACTTTCCTTGGCCGTGTTCTAGAGGAGCCCTCCAGCTGTCAGGGGAGAAGGCCGCGGACACTAACCGGGCAGTTCCTGCTGTACCGGTGGTATGCTAAGCTGAGGTGGGTTGCGTTTGAGGTTGGGCGGGGAGTAGGCAGGGGAACTCTCCTCCATAGAGCTCTTTGGTGAGCCGCTCCTCCCCCCACCCCTCTACTACAGGCGGCAGAGCTCAGCTGAAGCACACCTAGAGAATGGAGTCCGGGCTTACTGGAGGTGTGCTCTGGGGTAGGTCCCTTAAGTTCCCTGGCTTCAGGAAAAATGGGATGAATGATGTCCACCTCATAAGGTTGTTGTGAGGATGAAATGAGATATTGCCAATAAGTTAGCATGAACCTGGCACACAGAACACTCAACGTAAGTCAGCAGCTATAATTAGCGTTTTCAGTGGCGTTTCGCAGCAAGTGATTGTGCCTGGAGGGGCAGGTGCAGTTCTTTTAGACACCAGGAGATGGCGCCACGACCCCAAAAAAGCCTATTCCTGACCACCTGCTTCCCTTGAGGGCTCCGTCTGGAAGGGCTTGGGAGGGACTGCTTCTCGGCTGTCCTCCAGTTAGACCCCCTCCCCGCTGCAGAGGGTAGAGGTACCTGCACATCCCTCAGTTCCAAGGAAGAGGGGGCCTGGTCACCTTGGGAATGCCAGTGGAGCCTCAGTTTTTCGTATGTAATAGGAAAGAGCATTGTCTTCCAAGACAGCCTGGGCTAAGTCGAAGAAATGATCGGGTTGGACCAGATAACAGCTTTCCAGAACAAGCGAGCATCCCAGTTCAGAGGGCCTACGACTGGACTTCGGAGCGCGGCTGGGCCTGGAGCTGAGGCAGGGGGATGACGCACATGACCGCTATTCACTTCCTTTCTGGATATGAGAGACAGCGGGGCTGCTCGGCGCAGAGAACCCAGGACCCGGCTGGTAATTCTGAGTCCGGCCAGCAGTCGGAGACAGAGAGCCGCCGGGGCCTCGAGCGGGCCTCCTCGCAGCCCCAAGCTCGCCCTCCTGCGAATCAGCCCGGTTTGGCAGGGATCCCTGGGCAGGAGTTGACTTGTCCCGTGTCCCTTCGCTTTGAAAAAGACTTGCCCTACTCCCTCCTGCTGGGTTCCTTGGGAACAACGCGTGGGGTGAGGGAAGGGTCAGATTCAACCCTAACTCTGTATCTCCCCGTCGAGCCCCACCCTTCCCGGCCTCAGTGACCTGGATGTGGTCTGCTGGCTGCTCTAATCCTAGCAGCTCGGACTTCCTGGAATGGGGCGCTGTTATTTCCCCAAGGGTAAGGATCCTTACCCTAACCCGACACTGGCCCAGGACTGGATGGCCAGCTGGACCTCCAGAAGCAGGGGAGTGCCCACCCCA